TACAAGCCGCTCTTAGGATAGGTCCTGACAACCCTAGTATCGTATAGCGGGGCAGGGTAAGACCTGGAATTGTGCCAGTCCCTGAAATCCCAGGTCCTTCCAATCTGTCCTATCTCAGAGGTGTTCTCCGCCAGAGCTCTGTACGCTAACTCTGCCGCGTGCATGTCTGCTGCTTTCACGTTCTTTTTTAGATCTGAAGTGAACCTTCTACTTTTAGATCCGTCCTTTTCAAGCTCCAGGTAAACTGTGGATTTGAATCTGAAATTGTTTTAGTTTTTAAGGAAATACTGATCTGAGTGTTAAAATAACAAATCACGTGAAACAACAAGTAACTACACTGTGGTAGGTTCATGAATTATCACAAGTTTCTCAATTAATTAATTAACTTACTTAAACTATATAAATCTGTAATAAAACGCACCCTTCAAGGCCAGGTGAAGGAGTGTATTTAGGAGCTGAGAGACTGTTCTTCTGAAACAGCTCCTGAAGCTTGTTCTTCCAGTTTATAGAAGTAGTAACCATGGTAACACCAGTAGTAACCATGGTAACACCAGACTTGGCAGGAGTGGAGGGTTGAGGACTTGAATCACGTGTTCCGTTTCCCAACCTGCTACATAACAAAAACATTTAGTTTCCTGTAGAATTATCAATTAAGAACTTTTTTCTGTCTCAAATCTTAATTACCAACAAAGAAAGCATAATTTAGGGTAAACAGGGGTATTATAATTATACGTTTAGTTACACAGTACTTACTGTCCACCAAGTATAGAATTGTAAGCACGTGCTGCAGCTTGAAAGGTAGCAGCCTTCTTCGTGTCCAGCCGATCAGATGTTTCTTTTATCAGTCTTCCGGTATTCAGCTTCACAGAAACAGTCGCTTCAAAACTGAATTGTGTGCTATACATAACTAAATAATCAAATAATTTAATAATATTAAGTAACTAAATAACTAAATAAATAAATAACTAAATAACTAAATAACTAAATAACTAAATAACTAAATAACTAAATAACTAAATAACTAAAAACTAAATAACTAAATAACTAAATAACTAAATAACTAAATAAATAAATAACTAAATAATCAAATAATTTAATAATTTAATAAGTTAGATAACTTAATAACTAATTAAGTAAATAAAAACTAACGCGTGAGAGTGTTGGTCCCCAACATCTAACGCAGTGTACTCGGGAGCAGGGTGACTGTTCTTCTGACAGAACTCTTGAAGGAGGTTCTTATAGTTCTTAGTTGGAGTAACCATGGTAACTCCACACTTCCCAGGAGGAGTGGTCCGTTGTGAGTCTCGTACTACTAGTGGAGAGGCTGTGTGGGCCGGCCTGATCAGATATTGTTACTACTTGCAGTATATGACTTTATTAACAATTATAGCGTGGCACATTTTTCAGATATCATAATATTCTTAATATCACAATACAAATTGTCCTCTCTTTCTGAGATTTTCCTCTTCCCTCCAATAACAATAATACAATCATACACTTACCTAATAAGATCGCTAAGAGCAACGTAACCAACATGAGCAGCATTCGTTCTCGCATCTTTTTTATTTCTAAATCTAGTATCTGACTCGTACTCATGGCGCACTCCTCGGAAGGAGAAAAACACTTTTGCTGAGAAGCTGAAGAGGACGTAAAGGTCACAAACTAACCAATCAGAACACAGTATTTACACCACGTGACACAAACTAACCAATCAGAACACCGTATTTACACCACGTGACACAAACTAACCAATCAGAACACAGTATTTGCACCACGTGACATCATGTGCAATAACTAACTCCATTCGAAATGTCACGATAAATATTAAACTCATCAACTAATTAACTAATTAACTAATCAATTAATTAATCAATCAACTAATTAACTAATTAACTAATTAACTAATCAACTAATCAACTAATCAACTAATCAACTAATTAACTAATCAACTAATTAACTAATTAACTAATTAACTAATTAACTAATTAACTAATTAACTAATTAACTAATCCTACATTGGAATGCAGACCTGGTCTGGCTGTGTGGAGTAACTATAATATCTGCAGGTTTTTCTCCTTTCTTTTGCAGAGTCTCATTTAACGCTCCGATAACGTTAGATTTGCCGTAAGGTAACGGGGTTCCTCGCTCCACCAAGAATTCCTCTGTAAGTTAATTAGTTAATTAATTAATTAAGTAGTTAATGAGTTAATTAGTTAATTGGTTGTTTAGTTAATAATTTAATTTGTTTATCGGTTAATTAGTTAATTAGAAGACATCAAGTGGAATATCAGAATAGATTCCAACTATTATTAAATATTGTTCAAACCATAAGAAAGAAAAATAAAACTCTGCAGAAGCTCACCATCATTAGCAACAGGAGAGGGAATGTAGTTGTCAGGAGAGGGAGTGTAGTTGTCATGGTAACCAGAGTGGGAACTCTCCCCGGGTTTATCACCCTGATCTCCCCTCAGAGTCATGTCCATCCTCCCGAACCTAACAGGAGAGGAGGGTCTGGTACCCCGGACCGGGGAGCTACTGTCCTGTCTACTCCTGGGTATGAAGTATTATAGAGGAGGGTCTGGTACCCCGGACCGGGGAGCTACTGTCCTGTCTACTCCTGGGTATGAAGTATTATAGAGGAGGGTCTGGTACCCCGGACCGGGGAGCTACTGTCCTGTCTACTCCTGGGTATGAAGTATTATAGAGGAGGGTCTGGTACCCCGGACCGGGGAGCTACTGTCCTGTCTACTCCTGGGTATGAAGTATTATAGAGGAGGGTCTGGTACCCCGGACCGGGGAGCTACTGTCCTGTCTACTCCTGGGTATGAAGTATTATAGAGGAGGGTCTGGTACCCCGGACCGGGGAGCTACTGTTCTGTCTACTCCTGGGTATGAAGTATTATAGAGGAGGGTCTGGTACCCCGGACCAGGGAGCTACTGCCCTGTCTACTCCTGGGTATGAAGTATTATAGAGGAGGGTCTGGTACCCCGGACCGGGGAGCTACTGTCCTGTCTACTCCTGGGTATGAAGTATTATAGAGGAGGGTCTGGTACCCCGGACCGGGGAGCTACTGTCCTGTCTACTCCTGGGTATGAAGTATTATAGAGGAGGGTCTGGTACCCCGGACCGGGGAGCTACTGTCCTGTCTACTCCTGGGTATGAAGTATTATAGAGGAGGGTCTGGTACCCCGGACCGGGGAGCTACTGTCCTGTCTACTCCTGGGTATGAAGTATTATAGAGGAGGGTCTGGTACCCCGGACCGGGGAGCTACTGTCCTGTCTACTCCTGGGTATGAAGTATTATAGAGGAGGGTCTGGTACCCCGGACCGGGGAGCTACTGTTCTGTCTACTCCTGGGTAAATTGGATAAGAAGAGATTTAGAAAGATTTTTGAAGACGAGCTTTTCTGCCGTACCCTTGTCTCCTCCTGGGTATGAAGTATTATCATCCTGATTTTTCATATGAATAATATTTCAGGTGTTTTTATTATTGTAGTGTAAGTGTATTGGAGAGAAGAAATAGAGACAACTAGAAGGATCACAACAAGAGTAGAAACCTAGAAGAAGAATGGAGTGTATAAGCATAGTTTTAATTAGTATTATATCTTAGGAAGTAAAGACTTTTAATAGTCCGGGTATTATTTAGTGATATTTTAGTGTAGTAGTTTTAGTTAGTAGTTAGTTTATAGTTGGAATCGGGTACAAGGTCTGGGGAGGTTAGTAAGAGAGGTTAATTGAGTGAATTATATAACTAACTGTTAATTTATTAACACAAACTATTTCAGTTTAATTTATTATAATTCCGTGTTTTATTTTGTAATATCATCCCCTTCAGATTAAAAGTATAAATAGGTTGTATAATTTTTGACTGAATTTTTCTTGAATGACCATCTTACAAGGTCATTGAGGATGACACAAGACAAGATTGAGGTATTCAAAGTTCTATTCCTAAAGAAGCTTGATAAACGGTAAATCATCAGAATAATTTGCTAACTGAAATTGTTTAAGTTCACATATCAAGATACTTTGAGGGACACGTCTTAAAGAGGTACTATGAGGTACCCCCAGAACTTGTACCACTTGTCCAGTTACCCATGCGTTTAGTATTTCTACAATATGGTCTAGTACGAATTTTACACAACATAATGCCTCTAATGTCGTTTATTTCTCATTCTCTTTGCTGTATTGTATCTTTGTATATTATGTACTATTTGTAAAAATTTCAAAAAGCAAATCAAATAAAAAATCGAGGTACTTAAAACACTAATCACCTGTAGTCTAGTATGGTAGGAGAAGAGGGTTGGTACTGGAATGTTGAAGGTATTTCAAACATGTCACCCCTGGAGAAACCCTCCTCTCTGGAACCCTCCTCTCTGAAACCCTCCTCTCTGGTATCTACCTCCATAGTTTGGAACTGAGAGTCTCTTCTGCCTAGCTCGTTAAACGTATCTACATCCTGCATTATCATACCAAATCCTGAGAAAACTAGAGTAGTACTGTGTTGTTGTCCAACACTGACAAATAAGTATGAAAACTTACACTGAAAACTAACACTGAAATAAAAGCAGACACTAGCACTGAACACTTAACTCAGCTAGATAATCATATATATAAAGAAAACATGTTCAAAGTAAACGTCGACGATGTAAAAAAAGAGACGACACAAAGATAACTAATATAATATCAGCTGTGCATCATTGTGCTTGCATTTCACTGTCATTAGTGGGGGGGCCGGGGGGGGGGGGCATTTTATACCATTGCCTCCCCCCGTCATTAGTGTCATTAACTGTATCTTTTTAAATAGCACATACATGATATTATATAATTATATAATATATATGTAGTTCCGCTTCATTGCCATCATAAATATTAATTATTATTAAACCCTTATGGTACACGTGACGAAGCAGTGAACACTAAACATTAAATAATTTACCACTATCCTGGATATCCAGCATTTCGAATGGCTCCTCTATGTTTTGGTAGGCATGTCCAGTAAACTCTGAGTCACTGAGTTGAGATCCAGTATCAGGGGTGAAGTATCCGCTACCTGGGTAGTTTGTTAACTAATTAATCAATTAATTAATTAACTAATTAACTAATTAACTAATTAACTAATTAACTAATTAACTAATTAACCTAGTAACTAAGTATTTATACGCCGACTTACTGATGAACTGATAAACTAATTAACTGATTAACCAATTAATTGATTAACCAATTAACTATATATACCCAATTAACTAATTAACTAATTAACTAATTACCCCACCTGAAGTATGAGATGTATTAGAAGAGAACTCCACAACCCCCAACTCTATCCTCTCTGTAACAGCTAGCTTTAACAAAGCTTCCTGTCTTCTACATAGTTCACATAACCCTCTGAAAGTGGTGTAACTATGGTAACTAGTGGTGTAACTATGGCAACATGAGCCTTCACAGATCACCAAATAGCGTGGTAGTCAAGGGTACAGCTGATTAACTTATTAATTAATTAACTAATTAACAAGAATTACCCGAAGCTGAGGTAGAAGACCTGCTGATCATGGGATTTTATCTTAATAATATCTTCAGCTGATAAGGACACCTCGAACTCTCCGAGTAGCACTGTATCTCCTTCCTGGGTGGGCGTCTTTCAGGTCTAGTTCAGAGTTAATTAACTAATTAACTAATTAACCAATTAACTAATTAACTAATTAACTAATTAACTAATTAACTAATTAACTAATATACTAATTAAATACTATACTAATTTACGTATTAACTAATTAACTAATTAACTAATTAACTAATTAACTAATTAACTAATATACTAATTAACTAATTAAATACTATACTAATTAACTAATTAACTAATTAACTAATTAACTAATTAATTAATTAACTAATTACACTTACCCGTATCAGGGTGAAGGTATCAGAGCTGTTTTCACACACCTCACTCAGGAAGCCCTCTATCAAGTCACATGATAATGAGCGGGGAAGTGAGCCGTGTATGGAGACCCGGGGTTTGTTGTGTACCTCCACATCAACATACGTCAGGTTCATATCATCACTGCTAATTAACTAATTAACTGATGAACTAATTAACTTATTAACTTATTAACTTATTAACTAATCAACTAATCAACTAATCAACTAATTAACTAATTAAGTAATGAACTTATTAACTAAATAACTTATTAACTAAATAACTTATTAACTAATTATCGTTATTCAACACAAGGATTTATTTTGTTCATTATATTGTTAAACCCAGGCTGCAAAAACGGTTGATGATAGTCAGACATGAAAACGACATAATATTAGTATCTCGAGCGGCTTGTGACTAGTTCCGGCTCACAAGGGAGTATCACCTCAATAAATGTAATATAGATTTGCTGTTTCAAACTAGTGACGTGGTTACTACATGGTTTACCGTCAGGAATCTAGTTTATGTGTTTGTCCAGAATTGTACATCATTAAGCATTGAAGCACACAAATTATGGGTTAACACTTAAATCAAAACATAACTTACTGAAAACAAACTTTCACGGTTAATATTTAACATAAACTTCTCCTAGAAATAAATTAACAAAACTTATCATGAATCATTCGCATATCTTATGATAATGTAAACATATTAATCAAGCCAGATGTTTACTATTTTAGAACCTCTCCCTGAGCCCTTCGTAACCATTTTATACGTCATAGCTATTGAGTATACGTCATAGCTATTGAGTATAAGTTACAGTCAGCTTTTCCAAACCCCTCCCCTAACCTGACTGATATGCGAATATTTCATTTCTTATAATAATTTAGATCAAAACACTGGTACAAACAAGGTCACAATAAAAAAGATAAAATAAACTTTCGGTCCTATTTTTAGCTATTTAGCTATAAATTAAACTTCCGACCGGGTAACAAAAAAGAATACGCAATTATATAATAAGGTAATGAAAGGGGAAGTAAATACGGGATAGTAAATATTATGAAGGAGCATGAAGGGGGATTTGTTTAAACATGTAAGTGATACGAAAATTTTGTTTTAGCAGAAGCTTTCAAAATACATGTATAAATCATCTTCAGCTAGGGATGATGTTGTGAAGGGGTGATTATATATAATTATGATGGAGTGGTGTAAATTATTTAATTATGAGGGGTAGCTACTTACTTAAATACCTACTTACTGCCAATAGATTAAATGTAATTAAATATAATTAATTTAAGTAATGAATACTGTCATTTTAGTTTCTCGTAATTTTTAGTTGATAATAAATAAACTAGTTTCCTACCAAAGTCCCTATCAAGTATAATAATTAGCTCAGACCGTTTCTGTATGTCCTGGAGGCTGTGACAAGCCCAGAGAAGAAGTTGAACGTCATAAAGGTGGTACCAGTAGAGACAAACGCCTGAAATAACACATTATTTATAACGTTATATTATAGTGTAATAGTTGTATTATATAATACACATTGAACTATATGACACATTTAGCTATAAAGTTAAAATATATAATTAGTTAAATGTACTAGTAATTTTTAATAGTCAGAAGCTAAATACTTAACAATAAATCTTTTACCGAAGCTAAGGTGGTTCATTATCAGATTATTTTATAACTTATTATAACCAAGCACTCAATATAACAAATAATAACAAAATAAGATATAAATCCCCCATTAATCTACAAGTTCTGAAGATATCAGGTAAGATCTGACCTTTAGTAAGCTAGGCAAAGCACCCTTGTAGAAGCCGAGTATACCCTCGTGTTTGTACACTGTTGTAACACAATGAACAAGTCCCTTGTAAACTGGTACACTTTCTAACCCTCCCTCTTCTATCACCTTTCTAAATCCTTGTACCTGTACAGTTACCATAGTTACACTACTAGTTACTATAGTTACACCATAGTTACTCTCTAACCCTCCCTCCTGTATCACCTTTCTAAATCCTTGTACCTGTACAGTTACCATAGTAACACTACTAGTTACTATAGTTACACCATAGTTACTCTCTAACCCTCCCTCCTGTATCACCTTTCTAAATCCTTGTACCTGTACAGTTACCATAGTTACACTACTAGTTACTATAGTTACACCATAGTTACTCTCTAACCCTCCCTCCTGTATCACCTTTCTAAATCCTTGTACCTGTACAGTTACCATAGTAACACTACTAGTTACCATAGTTACACTTCTAGTTACCATAGTTACACTACTAGTTGCCATAGTTACACTACTAGTTACCATAGTTGCACTACTAGTTACCATAGTTGCACTACTAGTTACCATAGTTGCACTACTAGTTACCATAGTTACACTACTAGTTACTATAGTTACACTACTAGTTACCATAGTTACACTACTAGTTACCATAGTTACACTACTAGTTACTATAGTTACATTAATAGTTACCATAGTTACACTACCAGTTATTATCAGCTCATTTCTAAAAGTCAGTGCATTGTCCCAACATTACATCACCTTGAATCACGACTTTTATTCACTACTAGTTACCATAGCTACAACACCTTTACAACACTACTAGTTTTATTCACTACTAGTTACCATAGTTACAACACCTTTACAACACTACTAGTTTTATTCACTACTAGTTACCATAGTTACAACACCTTTACATTTTACAACACTACTAGTTTTATTCACTACTAGTTACCATAACTTTACAACACCTTTACAACACTACTAGTTTTATTCACTACTAGTTACCATAATTACAACACCTTTACAACACTACTAGTTTTATTCACTACTAGTTACCATAGCTACAACACCTTTACAACACTACTAGTTTTATTCACTACTAGTTACCATAGTTACAACACCTTTACAACACTACTAGTTTTATTCACTACTAGTTACCATAGTTACAACACCTTTACATTTTACAACACTACTAGTTTTATTCACTACTAGTTACCATAACTTTACAACACCTTTACAACACTACTAGTTTTATTCACTACTAGTTACCATAGTTACAACACCTTTACAACACTACTAGTTTTATTCACTACTAGTTACCATAGTTACAACACCTTTACAACACTACTAGTTTTATTCACTACTAGTTACCATAGTTACAACACCTTTACAACACTACTAGTTTTATTCACTACTAGTTACCATAGTTACAACACCTTTACAACACTACTAGTTTTATTCACTACTAGTTACCATAGTTACAACACCTTTACAACACTACTAGTTTTATTCACCTGTAATCGTTTCTTTGTAACGTCAAAGGGAAGGACTGCACATTTGGCGAACACTCCAGAAACTGCTCCAAAAAGGAAACTCTCTTTGTTTGATAAACGCTCCTTTTCTATAGCTTGCACCCTGTACAGTTACCATAGTTACAACACTAGTTACACAAAAAGGAAACTCTCTTTGTTCGATAAACGCTCCTTTTCAATAGCTTGCACCCTGTACAGTTACCATAGTTACAACACTAGTTACCATAGTTACAACACTAGTTACCATAGTTACAACACTATTTCCAAGTTACATATTTTCCTATTACCCCCGTACAGTTACCAAAGTTTTCAACCCTAGTTACCTTGTACATTAGTTACAAAATTCCCCGTACGTTTTTCCAAGTTAAAAAACACTTACTGTTACACTTGTTACTTTGTACAGGATGTCAAGGTCAAGGTTTTCCAAAACTTTGGGGGGGTTTAAAATTTTTAAAAAAAAAAAAAACCTAACAACCAAGTAGGTTTATATAGATTTATAATGTCTTTTTGTGTATTTTAAAATGTATTTATAAGACATTAGTGGGGATTTTGTAGTTAAGGTGTTTAGTGAAATTTTTAGTGGTTTTAAAGGTAAATTTTTGGTTTACTTGGGGTAAGTGTTCAAGAACAAAAAGCCCCAACTGTAAGCGCACTTTGGAACCACTTGCAGGGGAATTAGGTATTAAAAAAACCTGTAGAAACCTCTAAATTTTAAGTGTATTTTAGTTATTTATAGTTTTATTTATAGTGTATTTACTTGGTTAGAGTTTTACAAGAACTTTTCCACGAAAATGAAGGGAACCATTTGGGAAAAACTTGAGGGATTAGGTTTTAAACCTCTTTAAAAACCCCTTTAAATCTTATGTGTATTTTTCTTTTTTTTGTATTTAAGTGTAGGGATTTTTGTGTATTCATGTGTTTTAAGTGTTTTAAGGTAATTTACTTGGGAAAGGGATTTTAAAAAGAAAAAAAAACCCCGAACGAAGGAACATGGGAACCCTTGAGGAGGATGGGGATTAAACCCCTTAGAAATTTTAAAAACTTACCAATGTTTTTTAATTTTAATGGTTTTTTTTTGATTTTTAAAGTGTATTTATAGTGTTTTTTAAAATGTAATTTAATGTAATTTATTGGTTTATTTTAGTTATTTACTTGGTTAGAGTAGTATACAAAACTATAAGCCCCGAACTGAGGAAGCACGGGGGAACCACTGCGGGGAATTGGTTTAAACCTCTGTAAAGCCCAAAATCTTTCAGGGGATTTACTATTTATAGTTATTTTTTAGGTTTTAAATTATTATGTGTTTTACTTTTGGATAAGGATTTTTTTAAAAAACATAAGCCCCGAAAAGTAGGGGAAACCTGGTTTTCCACTTCAGGGTTGGTTTTAAACCTTTGAAGCCTCTAAATTTTTAGGGTTTTTTTTAAGTGTTCTATAGGAATTTTTAGTTTTTTTTATAGTGTATTTTTTTTTTGGTGTTTTATAGGTATTTTTCTTGGGGTAGAGTAGTAACAAAAAACAAAAAAAGCCACGAACTGAGAGAACACTGGGGGAAACCCCTTGGGAGGAGATTAGTAAATTTTAAACCTTTTGTAAAGGGGCCCCTAATCTTATAGTTATTTTCTATTTATAGTGTTTTTAGAATTTTTGTGGATTTAAAGTGTTTTTATAGTGTTTTTAGTGTATTAAAGTGTTTTTATAGGTATTTACTATTTATAGTGTATTTACTTGGTAAAGGTAAACAAAAACTATAACCCCCGAACTGCAGAGAACCTGGAACCACTGCTAATTTTTGGGAAAACCTCTTTTAAACCCAAAT